AATATGCTACAGCTGCATTTGTTACCCTGAAAACTGTTTCTTGCTCCTGATCCTTGCATTCTCTGCATAGCTTATTCCTGACTTCTGGACTCTGTGCATTACTTACTTCTGGCCTTTGTACCTTGTACCCTGTGCATTACTTACTTTGGCCTTTGTACCTTGTACCCTGTGCATTACTTACTTCTGGCCTTTGTACCTTGTACCCTGTGCATTACTTACTTCTGGCCTTTGTACCTTGTACCCTGTGCATTACTTACTTCTGGCCTTTGTACCTTGTACCCTGTGCATTACTTAACCACTTATAAAACAGCAAGGGTTTACCCCCTTCATGACCAGGCCACTTTTTGTTTTTCAGCACTGAGCTATTTTGCTTGGCAAATGCATGGTAATGCAACACTGTGTCCAAATTAAGTTTATATTATTTTTTCACATGCATAGAGCTTTCTTTTGATTGTATTTTATCACCATTGTTTTTTTTTACTATATTAACAAAAAAAGACAGAAAAAATCAAATGTTTTTATAAATTTATGCCAAAAATGTTTTCTGCCACATGTCTTTGTTAAAAAAAAAAATCCAAATAAGTGTATATTAATTGATTTGTGTGAAAGTCTTAGTGTCAGATTGACCACCGGACTATTACAGTCCCAGTCCATACTAGTATAAAATAAATTCATAAATAAATATACACTTATTAGGATTTTACCAAAAATACATTTTGGCCTACATTTATGAAGAAATTAGATTTTTAAAACATTTTTATGCTATATGTTTTATAACAGAAAGTAAAAAAATAGGGTTTTTTTTCAAACTTGTTGGTCTTTTTTTGTTTATAGCGCAAAAAATAAAAATCCCAGTGGCAATCAACTACCATCAAAAGAAAGCTCTATTTGTGTAAAAAATTATATCAATTACATGTGTTGCATGACCACGCAATTGTCAGTTAAAGTAACAAAGTGCGGTAAAGTAAAAAATGGCCTGGTCAGGAAGGGGGTAAAATCTTCTGGAGGGTATGTACCTAATTCCAACTTCTGTACTCTGTATGTTACTTGCTCCTGACCTCTGCTCTCTGTGCATAACCTATATCTGACCACGGCAATCTGTGCTTTATTTTCTCCTGACCTCTGCACTCTGTGTTACTTACGTCTGATCATTGTAACCTGTCCATTATCTACTCCTGATCTCTGTACTTCATGCATTTCTTACTCTTGATTTCTGCACTCCCATAGCATCACAAAGTGCAGGTTTAGTTAACCATACCCCTTTAAGCCCCTCCCACTATTAAATGCAATTTGGTCACACCTACAATTTTCCACAGCATGCTACACCAAAAATTCTGTGCACATGATCCTCAAGGCACTTTGTCTTCATACCTTGAATGACTGAATCTTCAAACATTTTATTGTGTTAACGTTTTCTGATATTGATGCTCTTATGAGACTCTATGGAGCTTGATGGACAACCATCTTACTGCAGTGGCTTCCAGTCTTCAGACTTTTAACCAGAAAAAGAGAGGAAGGCGCCTCTAAGTGCAGTATTGACAATTTATTAGTAGACAATGGAAAATTTGCATTTACAAGATAAACAGTTAAAAAGACTCATCCTGTGGTAATTAGATCCAGGTGGGACATCCAGCCGTCCAGCAGCAAGCTATGCCTATAGGATCAGGAAGTCCCAGATGTGCCTGTGCATCAAAAATGAAGCTTGGAGTGCAGAGTCGGATCTAGGAGGTGAAGGGGGCGGTAATGCATTTCGGAGCATGCTCAATAGGCTCCTTCTTCAGACCTCTGACAGGCACATCCTGGACTCTACTTCCTGATTCTATAGGCATAGCTTGCTGCTGGACGGCTGGATGTCCCACCTGGATCTAATTATCACACGATGAGCCTTTTTAACCGTTTATCTTGTAAGTGCAAATTTTCCATTGTCTAGTAATAAAATTGTAAGTACTGCACTTAGAGGCACTTTCCTCTCTTTTTCTTGTTACTGCATTAGAGCCTTGCTAAGCCTTGCTAAGAAGAGCTGCCTCAGTGTTACTGCTTCCATCCATCCATCCCTGATATCCATCTGGCACCTTTATCTTACAGCTACAGAGGTTGGGCTCCAACAAGCACGCCCTATATAATATACATGTTCAGACTTTTAACCACCCTTTGGAATTCTGTCAGTCGTCATCACACCAAAATTGTCCGTGCTTGTGGTCAATTTATTTACTGTCATAGACTGGACACTCCTTCCTCAGTGCGCCTCCTCCACGGCCACCTATAACTCTTAAAGGCCACTGTACGCCATGCCAGAGTGGCCTTAATCTGTGAATCTGTGTTAGAACTACCTGAATTTGTTGCCTGTGTTGGTAATGTTACCAAACTGGCACAAATGCTTGCCTGGATGAGGTGCAGGTAGTTCTAAAGGGACCTACCTCAAGAAAAGTGCTTATAAAGACTTCCCCTGTCTGTGTTTTATGGTTAACAACTGATTAAAGTGTTTGTAAACCCGTACATATACCCAGTGGAGTGACTGGCCTCAGGTGATACAGAGAGATGAAACAAATCCTCCTACGTAAATTGTACCTGTCTATCTATAATCTTCTCTTCTCCTCATCTGTTCAAAGTGCTGAATTTATTTATGTATTTATGTATGCAAGTTCAGCAAAAAAGGGGGTGAAGAGCTGTAATTACACACTTCAAGGCTCAGTGAGGAGAGCTCTGAGAGCTGATTGGAGGGATGAGACACACCCTCCTTCACACAGCTCACAGGAACAGAGCTGAGGATGTCAATCTGCTGGAGGTCCCTCCCCGTCACCATTTTTCTCTTGGTGTCAGGAAAACTTGTCAGAAGTGATTCAGCAGAGGAACGAGGTACAGGACAGAAATTACACTTAGTGTTCTGAAGAGATACAAGTACACACTATAGAGAGATATGCATTGTTCATATTTCATGTCTGAGGTTTACAACCTCTTAAAGATCCAGTGATCCAGAAATGACAGTCAAAGGGAAACCTTGTCTTAGATTGCCTGTGTGTCTTGTTAAACATGCTTAACAATGAAATTATGTCTAGCTATTATTTTTTATTTTTGTGCTGCACATTTTGCTGAAAATTGCTGTGTTGCTTTTTGGAATTGTACACTTCTGCTGTACGGCAGGAAAAGGCAGCATTATTTACAGCTTGGTTCCTCTGCCTATTAACACAGAATAACACAGTTCAGGTCTCCTTGAGACAATCGTGCAAAGGTTGTGCTTTAAGTCACATTATCTAGACAAAAAAGGAATTAAAGTTGAAACCCCAAAAGACTGGTTATACCAAGATTGTATGAACAAAATTCGAAGCATGAAATAATTGCAATGCGAAATAGCTTCACTGAACATTTTTTTGCCTCCTATTGGTTAAAGGAGATGAAGCCTCTTAACTTATTATGACCTAGAAACTGCATTACCCAACTGTCCCTGCAGCCCTAATTAGTTGCAGAAACAGAGCATTTTACCACATAACCTTCATATCATCTCTTTGAATTTTCTCTTTGGTTCTAAATCTCATTTCTATCCCAAGTGTTTTTCCTTGTCTCATCTCATACAGTTAATGAAACAACTCAATCAAGAGGCCAGATTCCTGCACAAGCTGATTTGAAACAGGGGAAGTCCAGGCTCAAAAGTCCAGGTGAATACTTTTCTCAATAAAGAATTGATTATTTTCAGATTAGTACATATATGTGTTTAATTCCTACTATGAATACAAGTTTTTTTAAATGGAGCATTATCTGAAGATATAAATGAACCATTATGAAATATGCCCAAGGCATGTCTTTAAAAGTTCACCAAGCTATTCTCTTTAAGGATAATTCCTAAAGCAGTGTTAAAGTGGACCTATTATCAGATATATAATTTCATTTATGGTAAGTAATGTGTCAGCTTCACACAGATATTTACTAGCTTTTAACAGAGATCATAGTACTCCTCCAGATATTGGGGTCAGTTTACAAAAAGACTATTATTATTATTATTATTATTATGCAGGACTTATATAGAGCCAGCATTTTGTGAAGCGCTTTATAATATGACTAGAGCATTTTCTGTCTGAATTTCATTTAGCTTAGTGAATGAAGTAAAGTTGTGCTAACTTCAATAATCCAGTTGTGTGCATGCAAAAATCTGTATTATTTTCCTTGGGTATTGCAAGTAAGCTTAGTGTTTTTAACCTTAAAAATATCATTTAATAAATCTGCTTTTTTAACCACTACCCAAATATAAAGGTGCAGCGCTAAACACTAAATATGCAGCATAAATCTCATCCTTATTTAAAGGAAATGAGAAGATGCAGTTGTTTTTATAAAATGTACAGTATGAGAAAACCAATAGCATATATTCAGTATATAGGTATAGATAATCAGCAATACCAAATCAAGCAAGAAAATAAACAAATAAACAAATAAATGTGCATAAATGATGTCACCAATAGGTGAGTAAAGTGCAAAAAAGTCCCAGATGTATTGCCCACGTGAGGATCCTGTATGATCCCAATAAGAGTGCGTGGAGGGTTAATCCCAGTGGCAGGTGTTCAATGTAAATGAAATGCGCACTCACCAGAAGTGCGTATAAACACGCATTTGAGATATAACCTATCTCAATAGGTATAGTTTAGGTCATCCGCCTCCCAGATCAGGTCAGGATACTTCCCGGTCACATCTGCATGCAGTACTCGGGGGTCCTTGATGCGTATCACCATAGGGGCTCACCCTTAGTGCGGCCTCTGCGAATGTCCCTCATGAATAGAATGTGCTTGGGAGTTTTTAGGCAACAAGGATGACCAGGGAGGAGAGGTGAGGGTTAAAAAAAAAAACACTGATCCTTTTATTCCTATTATTAAAGTCACTTTGAATTTGCAAAGACACTGCTTGTGCAATATAAATCCTAGAACGAGGGAATAAAACCCATGTGTGGTTATTAGAAACCACTTCCCGTCCGGCCCATGTAGATAAACGGCCGGATGGGAGTGCTGCCGAAGCAGATTGACGTCACCCGCATTCACTACCTGTGCAAGCTCCCTGGGAGCGCACGGCACTGCGATCGGTGCAAGCTGTGTCCAGAAGACACAGTTGAACACCGATCGCTGTAAGGGACCTCTGTGTGAGGTCCCGATTCATGGGATCACTGATTGGCCAATCAGTGATCACGTGAATAGTAGTAAACAAGAAGTCACTTTCTGACATCATTGCTTACTACTTGTGAAATATGTCACATAGACAGAGGTCACATAGTACAAGTCTAGTCACAACAGCCTTGTACCATGGGACAAGTTGTGACCAATCACAGCTCTCAGTATTTCTCAATGGCTGCAAGAATGCAGCCAGAGAGAAGGAGAAAATGATTGCTTTCACAGCCTTTATGGATGTAAAAACAATCAGTGTAAAAAAAGAAAAAAAAATCTTCATCACCCCCCACAAGTAGTACAGTGTCACTATGGTGACACTGTACTGCTAGGGTGACGGTATGTTAAAAAAAGCCCCATAAATAATAATATAAAAAAAATAGAAATGTAAAACAAACATTTAGAAAAATTATAATTTATGGTTATAAACTAATTTGGGTTACTTTTTGTTTTACAAAATCTGAATACATTTAGGCCAAGATTTATGAAGAAATATTATTTATTTGCAAAATTTTAAAAGAAAAACACCTTTTTTTTCAAAATGTTTGGATTTCTTCAAATATATAGCAAAAAAATAAAAATCCCAGTGATGAATAAATACCACCAAAATAAAGTTTTATCTGTCTCAAAAAATGCTAAAAACTTCATATGGGTACAGTGTTGCATGACAGCGCAATAGTCATTCAAAGTGTGATAGCACTGAAAGCTGAAAATTAGCCTGGACTAGAAGGGGGTGAAAGTGTCCGGACTTGAAGTGGGTAAGGAATTGATCTGGGTTTCTTTTGATATAAATATTTATTTCAGTTACTTATATAGCGCTGTCAATTTCCGCAGCGGTTTACATACATATATTGTACATTCACATCAGTCCCTAACCCCCAAGGGGCATACAATCTAAGGTCCCTAACTCACATTCATACATACACATACTAGAGCAAATTTAGACAGGATCCAATTAACCTACCAGCATCTCTTTGGATTGTGGAAGGAAGTCGGAGTGCCCGGAGGAAACCCACGCAAGCACAGGGAGAACATGCAAACTCCAGGCAGTTGATGCCATGGTTGGGATTTGAACCAACGACCCTAGTACTGTCAGGCAGAAGTGCTAACCATTTAGCCACTGTGCTGCAACCAAATATGGTAATTGTTCTTGGAATCCTTTTGTATTACCTACTGTAGTTGGTCCTGCCAGTTTTCACTTCCTGATTGTTAATTGACCACGCTAAGCACAGAAGCCAATCCATGTTAGTGTGGTCAGTTTGTCATCCTGTTCTAAGATACAGTCATGCTGTGCAAGCATACATCATGCCTGTAACTTCTGTTGTCAGTTTGAAGCCACATCCCTGCCCTTCTCTTTTGATTGACAGCTTCTTCCCCAGCCTCATTGTAAAGCTACAGCATTCCCCTCTGTAGTAAACATCACTTCCAGTTGTTGTTGTCATGTTGTCATGCCCACTCACAGGCAGGGCTGGACTGACAACTCATGGGCAATAGGGGATCATGGGGCCCCTGTGTCCTTGCTCAAACTCAAAAAAGCCTATGAAAAAGGTACCAGGGGCATCTCACGGGGCCCCCTACTGACCCTGGGCCCTCAGGCAGTGCCAGAGTTTCCAAATGGTCAGTCCGCCCCTGCTCACAGGTCCATTGTGTGTAAAGACCTGTGTGTAAAGAGAGAAAAGCAGTAACATGACCTGCACTATACTATAAATGTTCCAAAAAAGTTATGTAAACAATGTTTGTTTGTTTTTAATTTATATAATTAGAAATTATGGAAAGGTATATGTTTAACTATTAGAATATGTACAGTATATCAGCTTGACTTCACAACTACTTTAACCTCATTCACAACTAAATAAAAATATACTTTTCAATGTGAACACACTCTACATCTTTAGTAAAGATGGCCATACATGGTTAGTCTTTTTTCACAAATGAAGTAGATGGCGGAATCCTTCCCCTGCTGGAACAGCTGATTGGCTGCAGTCGCTGATTATTATTAGTATTATTATACAGGATTTATATAGCGCCAACAGTTTGCGCAGCGCTTTACAAAATTAAAGTAGACATTAGTTACAATACAATTTGGTACAAGAGGAAACAGAGCGCCCTGCTCGTTAGAGTTTACAGTCTAGGAGCATCAAGAAAATATGTGTAATGTGTCCCTTCTACAGAAGTTGAACAAATGATCGACTTCTGTCAAGCAGGGAGGGCCACACACTGATCGAAATTTGGCCATTCCCTGCTAAACTGACCAAATTACAATTAGTGAATGGCTACTTTAAGTCAAACCCAAAGTCTTATTCTGCTTTTTTTATTATAGAGGTAGCACCATGTTTGTTTAAGTATTGTCCAGGGTCAGAGATTATACTATCATGCAAATCCTGACTGCCCAACAGTTCTTGGAAGCATATCAGTCCTCTACTGCAGCCTCTCGCTTTTTGGAACTTGTTTACAAAGTTACGATGTTGCAGTCTGATTAGTGGTGGAAATGTGACCAAGTAAATGCTTTGTTATTCCTGTAGCAGACTGATGTCAGCATCTCAGCCCATGGAAAGTCACTGGACTGGAGTTCAACAATTAAAAAAAAAGATACCGTTGTGCATTTTGACACATCAGAATGTATTCCTGCACACTTGCGAAGTTGCTGAAAGGGTTTCTTTCTAAGGCAGCAACAGTTTGAGCACGCACATACTTTTGCTCTGGTCTCGGCAGCTGCGTCTCGGGAGATGCCTTCCACTTTAAAGATTGTGAAACGGCAGAGCCATTGCTGACAGCAGAGGAAGCAGTAAGGGAACTCCAGACCAGACCATACTTACCTTTTGAGGGATCTTAAGTTGATCTACTTAGAGTGTTATCTCTAAATGCGCTATTTGATTGTGCATCTGGTGAGTGCGCAATCCTTATATTACCAGACACATCACCATACTATTATATAGATCACCAGCAATTGAAGATCATCATCAGATCTTCCTTACATCACCTTTTTGGACATTGAAATTATTATACCAGCACTTTATTAAGCACTATTGGTCACTACATAGTGACAGAGTTATATGTTGCCACTAAGTCACTTTATTGTCATTGCAATATCACTTGATTGCACATCACTGGTCACCTTGTGTTGTATTGGACATTTATATATTTATCAACTATTTATTTGCGTATTGTGCACTTTGATATTTTCATATTATGATATGCAATTAGCGCTGCACCCATTTTTATATTGATGTTTTGGAGGGTCTTTTTGGTACCTTTTGGTGTTTTCAGCAGCTTGATTGAATTTGGTTGGATTTACATTCTGTGAAATCTTTTTTTAATATGAGCCCCTTCTCATTCTCATTCAAGGGGAGAAGATATCTAGGGCCCCTTTTTTCCAGATTCCACAGAAGTTGCCCCAACTGCAGACCCCTTATCCACCAGACCCTTATCCAAGCATGCAGCCTGGCTGGCCTGCAAACAGAGGGGTAGTGAACATATAGAATCAAACCCCTGTGGGCCCAGCTACCCAAACAATTTGTTGCCAAGAGTTTGCAACTGGCCTTAAAAGAGGCCAGAAAAAAATTAAGAATTTGGCTACCATAGACCTCAATGGGGTTTGCAATTTTGTTTCTAGTGTTTGGGGAACATTTAGTAAACCAAACTTTATTCAGTTATCTCACTATCAGTTTCACAGGGGTATGTCAGACAGATCACTGCTCCCTCACAAAGAGCTAGGGTCCTTCTGCAGCATGCTTACAGGGTACACACTTTTCTGCTCAGATTGTGGCTGATTTTTAAAGGAAACAAAATGGACTTTGCACATCTTTTTTGTTGTGATGCACCTGGAATATATTTCACTGGCTTAAACTGAAAGTTAATTTGGGCTTTAACAATTTGTGTAAATATCGTCAGGTTGAACCCTAACTGACTTATTGCTTTGGTACATAATTTGCATATCTAAATCCCTAACTCTACTGACCTGATATGGCTCTACAAGGGGGTCTTATTCCTTTCCCCCCCCCTTCAATTTTTCATTTAATTTACATTATACATATACAGGTTGATGGACATTTCACTTTTATAGAATGAGGAGCAAAACTCTGGTTGGTACTTCAACATTATCAAGGTGCAAATTCACCCTTTCATGAAAAATTAAAAGGTCAACTAACTCCAAATATCCTGGCCACCCCTCTGGACCCCTTTGCACATGCATCTGTAATGCCTCGTGTTGCCAGTGTAGCAGTCCATACACTGTACACTACAATACAAAGCCCCGGAGTGAGTATAATGCTTGCAATGGTATGTGCTCATTGGTCAGTTCAACCACAAGATGGCAGTGACCCATGAGAGGCACTTCTTTCTTCCTGGAAACATTAATGGAATAAGAGGCCTCAGATGCGCTTCCCTTCGGTCAGCCCAGTCACTTGGCTGTACTGAAGAATGAGCACTTACTATTGTGTACATTACGAGAGATACTCACTCTGGGGCTGCATTATAGTATATGGGTACACTGATGACATCAAGCCGCAAACCGGAAGCGCACGTGCCGCCATTTTGGATAAGGGAATCCTGCACTTTATTCTACAGTTACACAGTATAGTGAGTTTTTACCCTGTGGTGTCCCAGGTGGACACTTTGACATGTGAGTGTATTGGATTATATTAATAAAGTCAGTTTTATTTGGCAATACTTCACTATATGGAGCATTTTTTTCATATATCTGTGGAGCGTTCTGGAGATTTTAAGTGCTGATGGTGGTGAAGATCTTGGTACCATTATACCCTCCCCGGGTTAAAGAGAAAAGCATAGTTTGACCTGGTATATCGGGTCAAACCTGAAGGTGAGCGCAATAATGTGTCAGAGGTGGATGAGTACTAAGGGGTGACACAGGAGCACCGTACATGTGTATACAGTAGCGTGATCACACAGACTCACCTGGAGTACAGTGGATTTAAAAGGGATAGTTCACCATTATTTTGAAATCATAATTTTGGGACACTTATTGATGGTATATTTGGTATATGATTCACAGGAGATATACCACACAAGCACATGTGAAAATTGGAGTGTTAAAGGGACAGTCCACTATTTAGAACAGGTCATTTGATATTTGTGTACACTATTTATTTTGCACTGTTATATGCAGTTTTATGGGTATTCATATATATGAGTTGATATATATTTGATGCAGCACACATTATTGTCACTAAGCACAATTTTGGTTTCGCTATTCGTTTATACACGTTGGATATTAGAAACACCGTATTTGAGTTTATGTAATATAGTATACCTTAAACTTCAGATGTGCCAATTAGATTAACTCTATTGCAATAATCACTTACCAGGAAAGGTTTACAGGTTCAGATCCAGAGACTTAAAAAAGGTTTTGAATAACCTCTGTATCCCTAAAACACTGCAATCAAGCACACCAAATATGCAGGGCAGTATTCCTATAGCAAGGGGGCTGCAAATATGCAGACTCCCAATACCAAATATATTGGGGAGATTAGTTACAGTGAAGCACATGAAATGTTGAACTGTGTGATTCTGTGTTAAACTGCGAATATTTTTGGTATCCAATGTTTTAGCCATATTTATCTATGAATGGGCAGCTTTTATGTGGAAACATAATATAATATATGATATCAAGGGTGTGTTATATACTGTATATATGATGTTATTCTATAGATGATGTTTGGGTGGAAAAACCATGGTCAACCATCTGCTTTTACTGCCCTCTGGTTGCCCATGTGAAGGAGCCCTCAATCTGTCTTCATGATCTTCAATTCAATTTAAAAATGCAAACAGGAAAAAAAAACTAGGGTGAGGGTTTCCCTTTTATAAGCTGAGATCATCCCTTTAACATATATCTATAGCCAAATCTTTTTTTAGATAAGGCAAAAAATTATTAAAATGCATCATTTTATTTTTATTTTATTTTTTCAGAAGGGGCTCACATCTGTGTCCAATTGGAGGTAGTTTATCTTGCTTTTTGCACGTAGACACAACAGGAAATTTAAAAAAACCCTCCAAAATAAAGAAATATTCTCTTACACAGGTGTCCCCAGTGGAAGCTTTCTCCTCACCACCTATTCTGGTGACAGTTCAAAATTTAATTTTTTTCTAATTTTCAGACCTGATGACAGTGGTCCCTGTGACAAACTGAGAGAGCAAATTTTCCTAGAGAGGAAGATCTCATATTGCTCTATACAAAACTTGAAAAAATGATTTGGACTTTAGATACTCTAAGAATAATCACTTTTTTAAAGAGTGTTCAATTCCTGATGGTACAAAGTAAACATAGTACTTTATCCCATCTTCCTCGGTGCCTTGTATTGCTAATTGTAATATCAGCCAGGGTGCCTGTCCTTGGTGCATCCAACACTGCATCTTGCATGCATAGCTGCTGCAAAAGTGACTGCAGAGCTCAATCTCAGCCCTGTGAATACTGAGCTCTGCAGTCACTTTTGCAGCAGTTGTTTTCTTATTCCGGGTGACAATCCTATGTGATGTCTTTTTGCCTCTTTCAGTCAGTTGACCCTGTCGACCACGCCTACGCTTATCAGACAACGTCTTCCTGTATATGCCATCACATCCTTTAATACTGTACCTCACAACATGGCAAATAAATTGGCAACCCTATTAGATTGTAAGCTCTTATGAGCAGGGCCCTCTTATTCCTTTTGATTTTTATTGTATTGTAACTGTACTGTCTCCCTTACATTGTAAAGCACTGCTCAAACTGTTGGCACTATATAAATCCTGTATAATAATAATAACTTCAGTCACAGTGGCACAAGCTGAGTGGGCACCCACAATTTGCCCTTTTTGAAGCTCAGCAAGCTCTCACATGGCTCCGTATTACTAGCAATGCATGTGAAGCTTACCACCTGTTAGCTAGGTGTCTCATCACACAGTTACATCACTTTAGCTTTCAATGCAAAACATGTCATCACTTTCACACCTGCAAATCATTTAGTGTTTCCATTTTTTTGTCTAACTATTTAAATATATATATATATATATATATTTTTTAAAAAAAATTCTCTCTTTTTTAACAATATTACATTTAATTGCACCCAAACTATATAACTGTGAATTTTGTCTGCTTTCATTCCTCTCTGTCTTAGAAAAGTGCAGTGATGAAGTCAATAATGTGTACCAAGCATGGAAAATATATTTTATCTTGCTGTTTCATCTGTGGTTGTTTCATAAGCTTGATAAAAAGGAAGAATCTACTTGCACATATCTCCAATGCAGCAAGGTGACCTTAGACCTCTGGTAAATGTTTGTTCAGTAGTATGTGCATTTCCTTTTCTGTGTCATTTAATTTTCATCATAAGTAGCTAGATAAAGTTATAGTGTCTCATGCATTTATTTCTTTTTCTTTCTACTGTCCTTATTTTATTTTTTTACATGCGTGAAAATAAAACAAATAAAAAAGAGCAACACGGGTATGTCATATATTTTAAAGGATAATACCAAATGCCAATAAGATATTAAACCTTGAAAACTATTATAATTGATCACAAAAGAATACCACAGGACACAAATTGGTCAGATTTGTTTTGGCTGTCTGTAGCCTGTTGACCAGCTCCCTATTAGCACAATATTTCACAAAACTTGGTGAAATATGTTCATCTGATATTTCCAAAAGAGCAATTACTGTATATTGCTGGTGGATATCATAACCAATTTTATTTTTTAAGGAAGAGCTTAGCTGACACAGAGGCAGAATAAAGGCTCTCCTCAAACACTGAAGTGCGGTGAGAATACAGCTGGGGCAAAGAGGTTCTTCCACTGTGATCTACAAGGCTCATCTGTCAAGGGGGTACACTCTGTGAATTAGAAAACTAACATACACTTCTGATACACAGTGCTGGACCTGCTGTCAAACTGACAGCCAAGCCATGAAGGACTCCACAGCCACAGAAACGGCTTTCATTTAGTTTGTTAATAATTCACCATATTTTGTATAACATACCATAAACATTATTTGAGTCCTTTTCAATAGGGTACAAATTACAATAAATTTAGCATTTTAAGGTCCCTTAGTTTCCAGATGGAAAAAATGTTGGTTATCACAGGGCTTCTCATCCAAGGTTCCGTGAGAAATCTCCAGGAATTTATATCCACGCAACGGTGGCTTCAATGCTCTGCTTGCCTGTATTGTTGAGTGCCATGGGCAGATTGATATCCGCCTGGAGGTACTGTTAAAGTTCCAACTGCTGGTGTCAATTAACAGCGTGGAAGGAAAATTCCAAACAGAGCCAGCAAAAGGAGAACTCCTTCAAGTAAGTACTCAATAGATCCTGTACAACCATCCCCAACATTTGAGATTAATGTATAAGAAAAAGCATTTAGAGGTCAATTTTACCTTTAACATGGGTGTAAAAAGTGTAACTTGTGTGAAATACAGCAGGTATCATACATATGCATGACTAGGATAAAACAGATTTTGCCAGTGTCACCAACCACTAGCAAAATAGACCGTTATGCTCCCATACCCCTCTTACCAAATTATATCTAAAATAATCAGACCAATAACATTTTGGAGTAAAATCAGTCTGTATATGCAGTAAAGCATGCTTGTTATAAGGGGTCAATCCTCTGCATTGTGTAAAAAGGCTGTTTGATCCTGTCTTCTCTGCCCCTCCTCTTGTTCAAATGACCACATCATATCTCCTCATAAGACAGACTGAACCTGTAGCCATTCTGCACATGCTCAGTTTAGTGTGTATTGCTAGAGAGATTTTTTTCTCTTTCTTGAGAGAGTGCATGTGATCACCACAGGGCCAATCAGCACTGTCCAGACAGAGGCCAGGGGTTCTGCATCCTCCTAGAGCAGAAAGAAAACTCCTCCTACAAGCTTTAACCAGTGCTCTGCTGAAGAAGAAGTCATAAGACTGCTCTAACTGCTGATGAGAAAAGGTATTTAGCAGTTTATATTTACTAAAATAATTGCACTTCCATGTTCTGTGTACTGTGGGAGACCAGATATAGTGAATACAGGTTCCTGGGTTTAGTAACACTTTAATTTTGAATGCCTCCAAAGATCCCATCTGCTTGACCACTACGACCTCCAAGGAGCACCAATCCATACTGCTGAGCGGGAAGGTGAAGAGTTTTTCTTCGTTATGTGCTGCCTTCACACTGCTTGAAGTTGTTCTCAATACCTCCTTGACTCTACTGAAGCCCCTCCTAAACATTCAATGTCACCCATCCCGGTAAATATTTGCATATCTCCTGATTCCAGATGTTAACCCTATATCTCCTTGCCTCCACTGTTCACTGAGTCATGTCAGCCCTTCGCTTTTTTTTTTCCTCATCTGAAATGAGAGTAAGTTAATTTTATCAACCTAGATTTTGAGATCAGTTTGGGATGTTGCAAACTCCCAATTGTCACTCTGAACATTCTACAAGCATGTGCTGTCCCAGATAATCTGAGTGAATTACCACCATGTACATATGGAAAAATGTGGTCGAACTTTAAATGTGTCATATATGTGGATATGTCTCTTTGGCTTATGTGAAGGCTGCATACATGCGTCAGTACATGTATGTATTACAGTACTCTTTGGTAATGGATGAGATGGCAGATTCTTTGGGAATTACATGGAAAAATATCCACATATGCATGGACCACATGGGCTTCTAACGCAAGGCGCCAAGCGGTGATTTGAACTCCACGTGTAGGCTTATGCATATCTTTACAACCCAACTATGAAAACATAAAATCGGGCCCTATAGATGTTTAGCTTAGGGGTACAAAGGATTTTCAGCTTGGATGACCTCAGATGGCTCATGGGGGGGGAAGGGAGGAAGTCTGCTGACCTTGGCTCAAGGAAGTCTGCTGACCAGCACAGGACAGTGATAGATAATAGGAAAGGCCATGCTTGATGTCATCCTGTGTATAGGCACTCCCTATTGATTGTTCAATTGACTTTTTTATGTGGGGGGCATGTTTATTTTTAATAATACCAGGGGCTGGGCTTTTTATGAATTCAACCATCATTGAGAGTGTCGTTGATCATTCTATAACGGAGCTCCATCATCCCCACATTTGAAGCTAAAAGTATTGGATCGTAGTAGTTTAGCTACACCGGGTAAGCGAGATTCACACAGCTTTATGGGGGATTTCTCATAATTGACTCACGGTAAGAGAAAATTCGTTAAAGCGAATTTCCAAGAATACAATTATCCTACTTTCATCTTGGGCAGGAAAATACCCTGCATGGACTGGGCCTTGATTTGGTAGTCTATATATCAATATAACATAAACTAACATTAGAGGCAGTTTTCACTTGGATTCCCCGCTTTAAATGTACAACATCCACTTGATCTTGGGTTTTATTTTAGATACAGGGCAATGTTTTAATAGCATAAATGAAATTGTGGTGATTAATTGAACAGCAGAGAGAGAATCTTTTTCATGCGATGGTAAAATACACAATGTAAATGACATCTCTTAACATATGTGGTTTTGAACAGAAGATGTATTAATTGCATGTATAATTTTTTTTTTAAAATATGTAAACTCCACATTTCATATTCCTGACATGTGCCTTCTGTATCATGTACTCATATTAAAAACTATTCTGTTCAATTTGCATTCTTTTCTTTGTGTGAAATCCCTGGTGTTCCTGACAGTGCCTCTGCTTTCCTATCAAGAACTGACTACACTAAACAGGAGAGCACAGTGTGGTCAGTTCTTTATCTGTGCTGGGAACTCAGCCTGCTCTACTCCAATGATCAAACTTGTCCTGTCATGCCCCCCCACTTCCTCCCCTCCCCCACACTGCACAGCCATTCACTGGTAAGATCAATATGCTGCTGTTTCTCCTCCTCTATCTCATATGCAGATGAGAACAGAGGGTATGTGATCACCTATAAATAATGGGAAAAAAGGTGTATATAATGTTTATTAAATCAATACACAAATATTGTACCTTTCATTTCTATTTTAGTGATGGGCTGAACAGCCCCCTGTTCAGTTTGAGGTGGAGCATTCGAACCTAACAAAAGTTTGACCGCAAACTTCGAACATAATTCAAGTCTATAGGACTCAAACTTGTAAATTTAAAAGTGCCCATTTTGAAGGTTTATATGCAAGGTATTGGCCATAAAAGGGCTATGGGGACTCGGGTACTGCCCTGAGGGACATGAATCAATAAAAAAAAAATTTCAAAAAGTACAATTTTTAAAGGGGCAGTCATTTTTTAATTGCTTAAAGTAAAAAAAATGAAAAATTCCTTTAAATATCATAATTGGGGTGTCCCTTTAAGCTGTGTGCAAAGAAACAAACAGAGGGCGCAATACTACTTTTTATTGAATAAAAAGTATACTTACAAAAGAATAAAATCAAAGGCACATCACAAAATAGACAGCATGGTTCAATCTTCCTAGATGGTGGCTGTTTGGGGAACTGTAGGTCTCCAAATCGTTGATGCGTTTCGAGGCAGAACCTCTTATTCACAGCCTTGAAACGCATCAGGATTTGGAGGCCTACAGTCCCCCAACAGCTATCATCTAGGGAGATTGGACCATGCTGTTTTTTTTGTGATGTGCCTTTGATTTTATTCTTTTGTGAGCATACTACTTTTTATTCAATAAATCTAATTTTTAGAAGGTAAAGCACTAGGCCCGTGCACCCTCTGTTTGTTTCTTTGCACGCAGCTTCTTTGGATTTCCCTGGTCCAATGAGGGCAGCAAGGCTTGCATTCCCAAAAAGTACTCCATGTGGGGTTACTGACATTGTGGAGCTCATCGTCCAGTGCAGGAGTTTCAGCATTTATTTGCTCATGCTTTTTTATCAGTGTCCCCTTAAGCTACCTGCAAATTTGCACATCTGTACAATGTATAGAACCTGCTGCAGCAGGACTGACTTTTTTTTTTTTTATTACATTTTTATTTAAAAAAAAAAAAAAAACAATGTGGGATCCCCCCCAATCCTTACCAGACCCTTTAGGTCTGGTAAGAAGGTTAGGAGGGATACCACAGTACAAAATGAAAAAAAAGTTCTTGGGGTTCCCCCTAAAAGCCATACCAGACCCTTTAGGCCTGGTAGGACTTTCAAGGGGAACCCCAACCCCCGCCAAGCACTCGCCACTATCTGACATTTGCTGATCAGATGTAAACAAATGGACGGAGATAGTGGTGATGTCATGGCTAGCGCTGCACAATTGTACTGTGATTGGCCAAAGCATTGCAGCTGACCCTGTGGTCAGGTGCATTGCTTTGGCCAATTACAATGCACTCTCAGAGTGCAGTGCATTGTGGGGCACAGTGGGCTAACAGCCAGCTGAATTCCCTTATCATTCGTGTGTTCGGCGAACACACCAACAGCCGATGTTTCAGTCAAACTTTCATTCCACTCGAACAACAATCCCATCACTATTCTATTTTAAAGTGAATTTTTCTTTTTTTTTTAAAATATGAGGGTTTACAATCACTTTAACGTTTACATTTAGCTTGGCTTTTATAAAGAAGCAGCACCCCAACAGTTCTTTTTTAGGGCTACCTTTTTTGTGTCTGTGTCACTGACAACTGTAGTTGCGTTTAGCTGCTAACTCCCCCTTTCAGTCTTTTTATTGTGTGTATATATATATATATATATATGCATTGTATGTATATCATTAGAAGCCTTCAGAGTTCTTATTTGTTCTGTCCTATCCTACTGTAGTAAGCACATGAACATTCCATCCATCCATCCAGCACATGTGGTGGAGGTATATTATGCATCTAGGTGTCGCTCATGTATACAATGATGTATCATCCTAGATCATTTCTTCTATTATACTCTCTCTACTTAGCAATTAAAACTTCCCTTTATATACAATTAATGCCACTAACCAACTTTGGATGGGTTTCTCATTGAATTACCAAATTTGATGGTTGGTAAATGAGATAAAAAGATCGTATTTGAAGTTACTGAAAATACCAATTAAGGCCTACTTTAAGCTGGCCATACAGCCTGTCTGATTGCAAACAGATTGAATGTATTTAGGTTTGACCTCATGTTATATGGTTTTGAAAATCTAATGGAAAATTGTACAAGAAAATTCTATAATGTCCAGGCTTAGTGTTTACAGCCATTGTTCCCTAGGACAGTAAACAATTGTCCATTTGACAGATTAATGTAAGGCTGGAATGTTTTCACATTACCATTTTCATATGAACAGAATAAGCATAGGAAGAGTCTGCCAATTCTATTCTTTATATATATACATACACACACACACTGTGACATGGGATAGTTAGCTTTCGTGGTAGATGCATTTATATAATGAGTCCAGACATGGACTATTTTTAAGGGCTTGTTAGCCCACTTTTATTTTAAAAAAAAAAAAGAAAGTTCACGAATGATGATTTCCAACACCAGGGATCTTCTCCAACTTCAACAGAACTCCATGCACTGGAAAATACTGAGTCACTTTGCTCATAAACTCACTCACCTTCAATTGAAGTACCTCTCCTAGATACTTGGCTCTCTAGCTTTTAGACACAGAGAGCTGCTGTAAAGCCCACCTCTAGCCTAAGGATGGGGTTCTCCTGACACCATGTCAGGAGCCAACCTGACTCCTTGAACTGAAACCTGTCTGTTGGCTTCTGGCTGGGTCCTCTGACTGTTTGATGATACCTTCTGTCTACCTCACTGGGATCAGTCTCCAACTGGAAGCCCTGAGCTATTCTAAATGAATTCTATTGAATGTTTCTACCCAGAGCTGCAGAATCCAAAGAAAGACAAGTCCACAGCTTTCTCTTCTGCCCAGAAATGCTAATTTGGAATGCCACATTCACCCTAAATGAGAATCCTGTCTCATATTTTCCTATCTTCTTACAGTCAATTATTTGATACCTGGACTAAGATTTAATATTACTATGAGCAAAACTGGAATTTAGTTTTTGGACACATTTAAAAATTGTTCCTAACTCAATTTTGTAGAGCCAAATGTCCTGTATAGCGAGGATAGTTAGTAATGAAATGGATCAGAAGAGGCAGCTTATTGAGATGGAGGTTACACTCTCATAGGAGGGTTATCCCTCAGATTTTTCTACTCAAGTTTTATAACATCATTAAAAAACATTGGTCCATTCTAAGTAACAATCTTCCCACTATTCCTGAGTTTAATTATTCTTTTTTACATGCATATCTTCATAGTAAGACTATACATAACAGATTGGTTAAATCAGATCAATATTGTCCACCTACTCCTATTGCCACTTTTTTGGGACCACAAAATACAGGTTCATATCCCTGTTTTGAATTAAATGCAATGCAATTTGATGGTTAAAATAAAATATTTTTCTCATCCTCATAGAGGCAATAATATTTATATTAAGGGTCACTTTACCTGTCAATCCTCTTTTGTAGTGTACTGTATGTAAAATGTCCATATGGACTTCTTTATGTGGGACAAACCACACAGAAAGTGAAAGATTGAATTGCTCAGCACAAATATGCAATCAGTGATAAATTGGTACAATTACCGCTTATTAGGCATTTTATAGATAAAGGATATACAGTTTCCCAACTAAAAATATGATTGATGGAGACAAGAAATAGGAGAGGAGGGGATTGGGAGCTGGCTTTAAGAAGGCGTAAGGTGCAGTGGATTCATCGTTTGGATACAGTGCACCCCAGAAGGCCAAATTCCAAATTTGATTTATGTTTGTTTTTTATAAAAATTTATTTTACTGTGTGAGTAGGTATTGTATGTTGCTTTTCATGGTATTTTGATCCTAATAATTGCTTCTTACATTTTGTTTATTATTTTGTTTTTCAATAGTAGGTGTTTTCTGGGATGACCTCTACAGTATATGATGTTGGGGAGTGGACTCAACTCGTTGTTCCACTCTCTGCAATTTGGATAAAAGATGTATATTTTGGTTATGGCGCATTAATTGTGAATTAAATATGTAATTGGTTCCAGGTGGGTTAAATTGTATAAAAATGCTTGTCTTTTGTTTTTTAAGATTTGTTGCTACTGGAGGAACAGAGTTATCATGCTAGCCCAAAACTGTTTAAATGGAACTCCTTTGATATGTTTTTGTAACTTTTTTGTTTATTTAATACATTTTAAATGCAGCAATCCTGTTTGGACTTTTTATATATGACCCACGGGACGGCCTGATTGCATTGCACTATAAACTTTCCAATGTGCTGATCACCACACCTCTTGGATGGATATATATATATATTATCACACAGTATATACAGAATATTCTATACCAAGGCATAGACAATTAAAGCTCTAGCCATCAATCAGTTGTTTCAGACAGATATTAGTTCATAAAAGGATTCTTGGGTGTACAGATCAGGATATACTGTATAAGAAAATGTACCCCAATCCTCCAA